TCCGTAATTTCTTTAGTTAAACACTAACTTTGATATTTAGTGGTTTGAAGATTATTCTTTGTTCATTGTTATATCATATATATTTATCATCATCTACTTATAAAATCTATTGTAATAATTATCATCTCAAATTCACACTAGTACATACTTTTAGAATAATTTTTATTTGTAACTTCAATTAATTAATAGTATAATTACTATTCACGTGTTCTACTTTGACTACATTTTACGCTATTATTTTATGACAATTATTATTTTTTTTAAAATATTGTTCAATTCATCTCATTACAAAATTTTCAAAATATGATTTTTAAATATTTTTTACGAAAAGAGATTAAGATATAATTACGGTCAAAGACATGCGTTGACATGTGTGAAATGTTGACCGTTGCAACTAAAAAAGAACAGAAGAAGTATTATTTAAAATTCAAAACTAAGTAGACTCATAGACAAACTTTGTGACCAATGAATATAATGTATAAAATGATTATTTACTAAAGAAAGAAATCTTAGTCTCGATCATGACTATTTAAACAGTTCATCAGAATTACAAACTTTGTAGTATTGTTGTGATTTAGATTGTCGGGATCAAGAATAATCTCTATTTAGTTAGGATCCCAAATATTCATTTTCGGATAAATGTTGAATAGTTTTAGAAGTTTGATATTGTAAGATGCTCGTAGTAAAATATTAATCTATGTAAGGAATAAGTAATTAAAAAAGATATGCAAATATTTAGATACACATTCATTTTTATAAATGTATATTCATTTTGTTTATAATCATATGTAATTATATATATATATATATATATATATATACATAATGTCGGGATGTCGGGATTTTCCTGTTCCCGACTTATTAAAAAAAAATCCGGTCCCGTCCCGACTTAGTCGGGATCGGGAAAAATTCCCGACTAGTCGGGATCGGAAAAAATTCCCGCCTAGTCAGGATCGGGATCGGGAGTTGAGAGTTTTTTCCCAGCCCTAGTATAAACAGGCAAAACAGGGGGTGCAGATATATGAAAATACTTATGTCATTCTTATGCTATTTTTAATGGGATTGAATTTTTCTGATTTGGTCTAATCCGATTTGAATGGTTTTGGTTTGATGTAGTCTGGTAGATGTCTGATCTATGTATATTTTGTAAATGTCGAAGTCTTGTCTAATGTGGTATGATATGTTTAAGTCTATTCCAGTTTGTTTTTATTTGAAAATCAAATAAGTCCTAATAAAAGCATTCTTAAACTACACTTCGATATAAATTTGTCAAAAAATGTTCCTATAAGTTTTTCTACTATTTTAAATAAGTGTGTTGAGTGTTTCAAAAATAAGCGATTTGAATCCCTATGTGAAATAATAATGCATTTTAAGCACATTTAATTTCAAAACACAATTAATCCGGTCATAGTGATAACTCATACTCCGTATTTTTAACTACTTTTCACTGACCCACACCAGTTTTAACGCACCAGTGCACCACTTTTAACTTTTAAGCACTATGGCGGCACCAGCTCATCTCCCAATCGTGGATAGGGATGGCAACGGGGCAGTTCGGGGACGGTTTTACATATAACCGTACCCGCCCCATTTGATAATTCCCCGCCCCATAACCGTCCCATTACCCAATGGATAATTTTTATCCAAACCGTATCCGCCCCAATGGGTAACAGGTATAACCGCGGGTAACCACGGGTAATCGCTTTATTAAATGAGTCATTGATATTTTAATATAAAAATAATATTTTAAAAGGCGAAAAAATGGCATCACCTGGATAACTCTAGAATGAGACGCCCCTTTAAAGTTTCGTATATCTACAAGACGAGAAAGAAGACAACATAAATTAATTTGAACCTAAAAAACTTAATCTGAAAATAATTAATCACTAAAAATCTGATTATAATCAAACAAGACTATTAAGATCTATTATGAACTCTCATGGAAACATTATAGTTAGTACATCTATTATCCATATACTCAATGAAAATAGAAAAATCTCATCTTCTATTACTCATGGGACAAATAATAGATAAAAATATAATAAAAAATATAACTAAAATAAACGGGGCGGGTACGGGGCGGGTAATGGGGCGGGCATGTATAAAACCGTAACCGCCCCGTTACCCGTAAAAACAAAACGGGTATTCCCCGCCCCATACCCGTTACCCGGTCAATGCGGTTTTCCCCGTTTTGACCGGGGCAGTTCGGTGCGGGTATCCATTGGATCGGTCACAATTGCCATCTCTAATCGTGGATTGACGGAGATATTTTGTATAGGGGAAAATTCTTATAGAATGAACTAGTGTAATACCCGGGGCATGCCCGGGTGTTACATATACATATAATGTATATGTATTCATATAAACATTGTGAATTATTCATTGGCTAGCTATAATCAATTTCTTTTACTTTCTTTGTAGCTTTATATTTAATCAAACATTATTTTTTAAGTCAATGATGTTGAACTTTGATCGATTATATATTCATATACGGTAGTAATGATAATATGGAAATGATATGAAAATGTTCTTTGTCAAAACTTCCTGCTCATAAAAGTATAAATTTATTAACTTTAATTTCAAATAAATATATTAATTAAAATAACAGATCAAAGTTTTATATCTTTGACTGGAAAAGTCAAATATGGCTAAATAAAGAGGGATGAAGGTAGTATGAACTAACCACCACCATGGAATACAGGTGATGAATCACCATCTTTTGGAGTATGAATTTGGGATTATATTGTGATTTGTGTGTTTAGTATTATAATAGTTATTAATCATTTATATGACTAATTATGTGATGAGGGTGATTATAAGAAGCGTTGAATTTTACATTATTTTGGATATTCACGTGTATTATTTGTGTTGTGCGATTAGAGTCCCATTCACGTGAACTAAAGTTCCATTATTTAAAAATTTGGTCTCTAATTAGAGCCTCACTCAAATGAGTAAGATTATTTTTTATGATTAGAGTCCAATTACATGTATTAGAGATTTAGAGTCTCATTATTTAAAAAATTTATTTTGTACAACTATTTTGCAAACTGAATTGATATGGTATTTATTCCGAGAATTATACTCTATTAATATGGTTGATATTAAAAAGTTGGTATATTCGCCGGGTATGAATATTTATGATATGAAATTTTTAAGATCTGGTTTGATTTTTTTCTGAATAACAATATTCGTAATTATTTTCAATGGAAGCAACGTACAATAATAACCTACAAAAACATTTAGATTAGATTGGAATCATCATAATAGTAAAAATAATATATTATGTTTGAACCAATTTGGCATGAATTTTTTCTGATCTGATCTGATTTTTTTTTATTTTTGGTCAGAATGTTTATGATCTCTGATCTGAAAACGATGGGTGAACTCTGTTTTAATTCCGTTTTATTCTGTTTGTGCTTTTCTATCGAATTGCATGTTGTTTTGGACATGTTCTTATTTCCTAGCACATAGATTCTAGATTTTAAATCAAGTGATGAGAAGTCCAGTTTGCTAGTCATTGACTCAGTTAAGCCCATTACAGGATCAACGAATATTATTGCTTCTACAGAGTTAATATATTCTACGTATGGTTCGAGGGCGGACGGCAGACATAAGACTTTTTATCGCTTTGTTTACTTCTTGTTATTTGATTGTATTATCAGCCATGTGACGAACATTATTCTGATTTAATGGATTTGTTAGATTTGATGATATAAAAAAACTCAAATTTCACTATAAATTTGATATATCATTGATATATAACTCAAAATTTACAATAATTTTTTATATATGCAATTTGATGTCATATGAAAGATCATAATAAAACTTTATGATTTTTGGTATACTTTTTGTAAAATTTGTGTCATATGAAATATCATAAAAAGTTATAAATTTTGATGTATTTGTTTGTAAAAATTGGAGTACAGAAAAATAAGTTATAATACATTAAAATAAGACTTTCCTCCACTTTCTCAGAATGATCAATGATGCATGTAGTGTATAACAATGATGAACCGAGTCAACTTATATGAATTAGGATGTGTTTAGTTGAACTATAATTAGTTGGTCTGGCCTGATCTGAACTGGTCTGGTAATGTCTGGTCTCTTTGTATTTTTATAACTATCCAAATCTGGTCTGGTCTCTTTGGTGTCATATGAAAGATATTAAAAAGTTGTGAATTTTGATATATGTTTTGTAAAAATTGGATCATAAATATAAAAGTTATATCACTTTAAAAAAGAGAGATTTTTTCACCTACTATTCATCTAAATCAGCCGTAATACACAATTTTTAAGTGTGGTGGACATTGAATTAATTAATTGTTTTAATTGTAATGATAATAGAATTTACATTATCCAATAGGAAGTTGACACATCATTGTTTTCTAACTGAAGTTTACTATATAAAACCTAGGAAGCACGGAAACGTCTATCTGGGCCAAGTTTCTGTCCCGGAAACGTTTTGGAAACGCGAAACGCGTGGAAACGCCTGGAAACGGTTGCGAAACGCCCAGAAACGTTTCTGGGATCTTGGGCTTCTGGGCCGGGTTGGGAAACGTTTCGGAAACGGGGATGGTAGTGGGTTGTGGCGTTTCCGGTTAATTTCAATAAAAAAAGGTCGGTCAATTGTTGAACAATCATTCGCGTTTAGTTTTTTAAAACAAAAACCTGCTACGTTCAGAGTGCGCCTCTGTGACTATACCCTCTCCGTATTACCGCATGATGAGGACAAGGCGGTAATTCAGCAACGCATCAAACGGAGACGACAGAGGAACTCTAGGCTAAATAACTACAAAAATGATCTTTGTACCCACTCTTATACCCACATTTGTACCCACCTATGTTTGTGAAGATTTTTTTTTGTCTGTGAATCCCGGCTCACAGACAATATTTTGCACAAACAAAATATTGTCTGTGAATTGGGTTCACAGACAAAAAAAAACATTCACAAACATGGTGGGTATAAGGTGTGTGTCCTTGCCTACCTAACTTTGGGAGAACGACAATATTTTGTGCCTAATTCTCCTATACAAATTTCAGAGTTGCCTTCTTGTGGTCACAAATTTACACAACACCCTAATCTCAATTGTTCTTTGTTCTTGTGTTTCATGTTTCCGTTAATCCGTAGTTGAGGACTTTAGATGTCATTAATTAACGTTTAAACACATGCTAAATAATTACCTTAAAGTTATCTTTGAGAACATTCTCCGTGCTCTTCTCTAGTTATCACCTACACCTTTGCGGCGGCGGCCACCAAACCTCGCACCACCTTTAACTCTTCTCCGTCATACTATACGATAAGCACACAGCGGCGGTGTCGATTCAAGCCGTCGATCTTCGCCATGGATGCTGTTGGTCCTCCGCCTGATCGTATGCTATCTGCCTTTCACTCTGGTTTTTCGATTAGCTATTTATTTTTATTCTGCAATCTGCATACTGCATATACGCATATGTTTTCGTGTGTGTTGTATGTAAGGTGCTCATTGTGTGTGGGTTGATTATGTTTACACCAAACTTCGTTTAGACCTGCAAGGTAGATTGCGCTATTGGTAGATAGCTAATAAATTAATGATTTGTCTGGCGTAAGATTTTCTTAAATTAGTTGCTTGCAAAACTGAACGTTTTCTATTGGGTTGAGTTGCTCAAGTCTTTGTATAATTGTATCTCTGTCACTATTTTAGGAACGACTGAAGAATTACTGCAGATTTTAACATTGGACGTGGATAGCGAAAAGGCACACCAAGTTCAGGAGTGCACGAAGAAGGTGTCCTTCGGCAGCTTCTACTTATGTTTATATTAAATTAAAGTTTAAAAGCATGTGTCTTCCCTCCCCGTACATGTGAAGTTCCTAAGTTCATTGTGTCTAAGTGCCCGATAAACGATATTTTGTTGTGATTTTAGTTGGGTGTTCACTCCAAAATTCATATCCACACACACACACACTAAGACTTCTGTTTTTGCTGCTAATTATTCTCCTGTTGGTTCTGATGTTATTACAAATGGTCAGAACAAGCTTCTTGAGATATCAGCATTGCCATTCTACCAGGATTCCACAGGGCCTACCATGTTCTGCAACTCTAATAGATATCAATCACCAACATATTATTATGGTGGTAAGTTGTAGTGCCCAGCTGCTGCTGCTGCTGATTAAAAGAATAGAAAGAGCATAAATTTGTTTTTTAGTTTTGTACGATTAGAGCTAATTTAGAAGATATTTACATCATATCTTAGTTTCTGTGTGCCCGATCAAGATAATAGTCTAAGACATTGTTCCTTCAAACGATCAAGGTCACATAATTCATTATCAATTTATCATTATTATTAAATTATTGTTATTACTTATTACTATTACCAAATACAACCCCTATTCCAAAACCAGAGTCATGTTTGAGTATGAAACAACTGTTTAAATTGTAGTCAAGTACTCAAGTCAATCAAGCTTCATGTTCTATAAATTGCCGCTTGACGCTGTATGAGTCTTAGTTTAAAATTTCAGATGAATTATAAACACTCTTTTTTAGGAAGAGAAAGCTCTTGATCGAGACCCTTTTATACAACAGATAGCATTATTTTGCTTATTGCGCATTACGTGAAATGCACTTCAGTGCTACAGTATTTCTAATATTACATCACCTCCCTCTGGTTTCCATGCAGGTTATGATGGTTCTACAGCCAGTAAATGGGATAGATATGTAATGCCAGGTGGAGCTGAAGTACCTCCCGTAAGTTTTTGTATTATTTCTTTGTAATAATTAGTGTTTTCTTGCTAAACACATTATGTCGTGTGTATTCTAGCTTATCTGTATTATGATTTCTTAAACTTTTTTTCTCCAAAAACCTTTTTCATCAAATTTAACTAGATTTCAATGTGATTAGTGATTACAACTTTTAACTTGTGTGCCTTAGTGAAATTTAAAGTTGTACCTTGACCAAATTCGACTCATTTTTTTGGGATGGAGGGAGTATCATTTTGAAGTTGCCTAAACATTTTTACCCGAAGTCATATCAACATTATGTTTGAAATATCTGTTTTGTAATAGTGCTTCTAATATATTATTGTTGGGTGCTTTCAGAATATGTATGATAACTATCAAACGGGCTATAGTTATGCACCATATGAAACATATTCCCCGTCCTGCTCGAACGTTGGACATGATAGCAAACCACAACAATATCCATATCCCACTAGACATGTTCAACCTTCTTCAACTAACAACGGGACATACTCATGGAACCAACCAACTGATGTCCATTCCAAGGTCATATCGTCTATTGTTTCTTCTCAACTACTATTTCCTGGGGAAACTAAAGGAAATAAGTATTATAATAGCACCGGCCTTGTGAATCGAACCAACATCATGAAGCCGGTAAGACATAGTTATCAGCATTCTTTGCTGAAATCACCAGATGCCTATGGCTGGGGAAACAAGTCAGCAGGTATCTCTCTTTGCTGAACCAACAGGATTTCTTGTGTCTTTACATACATAAGCTATTACTTGATCTAACTGTCGGAGGGTCATTCTTGCAGCACCACATTGGTCGTCTTCACCAGCTGCACAAATCAGCAATTTCCATTCCCGAGAAAGCCAAAATCTGCAGCATCCTCGACATGTCATGGTAGGCAAATCAAGTACTCCCCACCCCAAAATAAGATTGCTATTTTAACAAAATTCTGGTTGAACTTAATGTAGTTTTACAAAATTAAAGTTCTGAATGAATTAAGATTGGTATGCTAAATTTAGTTTAACAAACACAAAATTATGAACGTTAGAAGGATGGACAATAGAGTGTTGCTTTACCCCAGTAAAAACAATTGTACTTCGATAAAACATGACTCTTTTTTAGGCAGAGGGGTAACTTATTACCTAGTGCACTTTGACTTCTAGGTATTCATAGGATTGTGTCATAGATGTTTGGAACTTAAGAGAATATTCTGGTTTACTGATACCCTTAGGCACAGGACAATCACCAGACTGGAGACTTAAGCCAAAGCCAAAAAAAGGTGGACCAAAGACAAGACCAGGAAAACTTGGACGAACCAATTGGACAAAATTGTATACCAAAGTATAAATTAAAGAGTAATACCTATATTTAAATTATTTTGATATAAACTTTATCAAATAATTAGTGAGATATTAAAAGTAAATATAACGGTAAATTTGACTAGTGGTTAAATTTATGCGAAGATACAAATTTCTTACATTTATATTCAAGTGTTTTTATAAAAATAAAAAATACTTCGTATGTATGATGTTTCAGGTCTCGGTTTGGGCTGGAAAATTACACTTCTGAACAGGACCAAAATCTCAATTTTTTGGGCTGATGACTTGACCTAAATCTATTTGGTCCAGACTGAACGGTCCAGCATGGTCCATCTTTCTATTCCAGATCAAAACATGAACACCCCTCTTTGGAGTTGTATATATGTCTAGACTCTAGAAAATTCAATTAATCCTGAATATTTTTAACTAGGTAGCTTCATAGATACTGTTTTGGTTATATCAGTGCATGTTTTCATTAGGCTCGAAGCATAATTATTGTAACATTCTCTATTTCTCTTAGTTGGTGAACACAAAACAGTGTATATTTTATGACATGGTTAGCTCATTTAGCTGTGGTTGAATCCTCTTATTTTCATATTATTTTATTTTAATGCTTTAGTGAAACTGCAAATCTACTAGTGCGGAGTTTCTTTTGAAATACTAGAAAAGTCTGGTTGAATCCTCAGTTTCTAATTGCCCCTAACTGTCCATGTTTTTCTTTCTTTAAGAAAATGAGAAGTTGTATAGTTCTTTTTTATTAGTCCTGTTTGTATGCTCTTCATCATCTGGTATGAGCTCAATTTTCCCGTGTTATGAGAGCTGGATACAGTCCGGGTAATGGTTAGGTGTTAACTATTATAGCTTACATGGAAGTAAGTTAGAATTATAGTCTCTGCTGTTCAATGACAGGGCTTGCAGCATCAAAGGGTGCCAGCTGGAGTAGGTGGTGGGTACACAAATCAGATGAATCCAAACAATGGTTTAGGATTCAAATCGGAGAGTTATGGTGTTAGGTTAGGCGCACATGATTGTGTGGCTATTCATAATGCAGATAGGTCACATGGTCATAGCATTGTTCTATCGAGTGATAACACTGAAAGTGCGAGTAGCATAAGTCTGAATAGAGGGCCCCGTGCAAAAGGCGTGAGGGGTCAGAAGGACTCTGAAGCCATCATTCTAGCAGTTAAGGAGCGTATTCTTAACACTGTGAAGGGTAACAATGTCAATGACAATGAACCTTTACCTCTTTCACCGGGCAGGGGACAATACAACCGAGATGATTTTCCAGAAACATTCTCAGCCGCTAAGTTCTTCGTCGTTAAGTCATACAGTGAAGATGATGTACATAAAAGTGTCAAATATGGTGTATGGGCCAGCACCCCCAACGGTAACAAGAAACTAGATGAAGCATACAGAGAAGCCCAGAAGAAGCCCGGTGGATGCCCTGTATTTTTGCTGTTTTCTGTAAGTGTTTTGTTCTATTTGGAACTCATGAAATTGCATTGGATGGGGAAAAATTGCCAAGGAAAAATGCTTTTTTACGTTAAGCTTTACATTACAAAGTACAGAAGAAAATCAAATAAGATAAAAACCTTTCAAAAACCTCAAATGTATTTACATTCCGTAGTCTTTACATGTTAGAAATATATAAATTAAATGAGTTAAAAAATCTCAAAAATTGGTCTATTGAGTATGAACTATTTTTCCCTGTACTCCGTAAATATTCTTGCCTTACATTTTCTTATATTTTCCTCTATTTTCTTTCCCAATCATTTTCAAAGTCCCAAATGGACTTGTAAGTGAATTGATTTAACATGGATTTGTTAGTGAGAGGTGACAGGTAATAGCTGCTATTTGCAAAAAATGTTGTCTTTCAGGTAAATGCAAGTGGACAGTTTGTTGGTCTTGCAGAGATGGTTGGTCCGGTTGATTATGATAAGACAGTAGAATATTGGCAGCAAGACAAGTGGAACGGGTGCTTCCATGTTAAATGGCATATTGTAAAAGATGTACCAAACAGTATGTTGAGGCATATCAGACTCGAAAATAATGAGAATAAACCTGTAACTAACAGCAGAGATACTCAGGAGGTTTGTTTCCTATGCTAAAAAAGCATGTTGGAGTAGGATTTTGCTTGGGGTAGATAAAATTTATGGTTTCTCATGATGCATGCAGGTTGGGCTTGAGCAAGGTAATCAGATATTGAAGATATTCAAAGAGCATTTTAGTAAAACATGCATTTTAGATGATATTGATTTCTACGAAGGGCGGCAGAAGATGATGCATGAGAAAAAGGCTAAGCAACTCTTGTCATCAAACAAACAGGCAATTATATGAACCTATTCTGGACATTTTCGTTTGTTACTACCTCCGCCCCATTAGGATGAGGAAGAGACATGATAATTAAGACAAGTGGAATTATGTGGTTATTAAATTTGTAAATTGTTAATAAAGTAAGAATAAATTAGAAGTACACATATATTACCAAATATCATATGAGACAAAATTTGTGGGACAAATTGAAAGTCGCAACAAAGATTGTGGGATGGAGGAGTATTTATTGGCTTATTTTCTTTATCCTCTAGCTGAAACCAATTTTATTGAACTTTTTTCCTTTCAAAGAATTAAGTAGACTCAGCATTTTTAGCTAAATAACGATTACCAAGCGAGCTCTTAAAGTCTATGTGCTACATGCAGTATTTACTAACAAAAATATTACGTACTAGTAGTACGGGGTACAAAAATACTGAAGAGTACTAAGTGTTCATTGTAATCAGTGGCATGTGCCTGTTTTTGGAGGGCCTCCTCTTTGGAGCAGCAGAAAATACACACGCACACACTTAATAGCTTATTATCGACTGTATTTATTTTTTTTTCATTTGTGTAGGATGGAAATGTCAAACCAGCCGTGGTAGTGTCAGCACAAAAAGTTGTTGGGGAAATAGATACAGAAGGATTTACTTCTTTAAATGGAGGAGTGAAGAGACGGGAACAACAAAGATCGTTTGCAGCAGTTCTGATTTCCCATGATAATAAATCACACAAAACGGCCTAGTTATTTAAACTAGAATTATCTAGGTAATAGGATACATACATAATAGAAACATGTTTTTCTTCACGCTTGTTATGGATCTATACAAATGAGGATCATAACATGGTTATAATGAGGGACTGAAAAGATACAGGTATACGGCTAAGACCTACATTAGTACATTTGAGTTTTTTACTCCAATTGATCTGTGAGTTTTGAGTTGTTTTGGATCATTAGGTTTTTGTGATGCTTGTGTGATTGTGTCCTTACGATTTTTTATCAATAGCCAGCTTTGTGTCCTTGATATTTTCAATTTTCAAATAAGTTGAAAATGAAAGTGTGTACATGCATTTTTTGGTGGGATGCTGAAAAGCCTGAAGTGGATGAAACTTGCTAAGTATTTTATGTCAAACAAATTCCGCAATTCTTTTTTCTCTGGTTTTTGCAAATGCAGCCATTGAAGTCAACTTCTCTCATAGCGAACGAACTAGCTTAGACTCCCTTAGAGAACTAGAGCCGATTTGTACTAAACACATTTTTGTAACATCTCAACAGATTTATATTTCTTCATCCTATTTACTTTGTCAATTTTTCCAAAAACTTGTCATTTTTAATAGAGTAATTATTACTACATGTGGCCTGCTTTTTCCAATCTCAATACACATTTCAGCAATTCAGCCTCATATTTTTTTTTTTTTGAGGGAAAGGGTCAAATAAGACTTTCTACTATTACGGGATCATCATATAAGGTCATGTATTCAATAGTGTCATGTATATACGTCTACTTTTAAAAAGCAATCGGATGAGTCAAAATGACCCGTTAACAATCTCCTAATTACGATTTTAGCTTACTTTTGTCGTTATTTTTTCTTTGTATTTAAGCCAATCGTGACCTAATATTTGAATATTTCACGTCAACCTTATAATCTATTAAAAAAAGGTAGCCAAACGTACACTTAAATCAGAATTACGAGGTTGTCAACAGGTCGTTTTGACTTTAATTGATTTTCATAAGTAGACATATTTATACTCTTTTCTCTTTTTTTCTTTTCTCTTTTTTTTGCAGTGTAAGTAGAAACTTGTAATATTTAATGTGGCGATGAGTGTGTAATTGTTAAAAAGCATTTCCATTGCGACCTGTTCATAAACATGTTGCACAAAATCATAGGAACCGGACTACAAATTCCATCTTGAGTAGGGGCTATGGCCTATGCAACTTGGTTCGGCTGGTCTCAAGTAGGGTGGGCTGGGACAGGTCCGGGACGGGATTGCGCGGGCTCCTGATCTAAAATTTTCAGGCCTGGTACCGGCCCAGGTATGTACTGGTAGTCTGGTACCGGGTCGGGTTACCTAGTCGGGCTTTAGTCCGGGCGCACGCGGGTCGGGTTAATTTTTATTTTTATTTTACTTTACTTCAAATTAATTCACAAGTGCTACAAAAAATTAAATGTATATTTATAGAAATATGAAGTACAATAGATAATTGAGAATAATTTCAAACATTAAATACATTTCGTAAAAAACAAATCTCCGCCATAGTCGATTGTTGTTTCCTCCATGAAGTGGCGGTTGGGGGCGATGCAAACTTGAGTTCTACGTCTGGCCTTCAAAAAATTGTGGAAGCAAATGAGCGGTTCAAGAGATTGTGCGCTCAATCTCGTTCTCAAGAGATCGTTAGAACAGGATTGCAGCCAGCCCCAACAATTGAAACCAAATAACAAAAATTTGAATTTTTTACTGTTAGGACAGGATTGGGCCCGGACCAGCCAGTCCGGTCCACTAAAATCAAATCCTGTAGCCCACCTGCTTCTTCCACTGGACCGGGTCTCGGGCCTAGTCTGAGTCCCGGTCAACTGGGCCAGGCTGGGATTGCACAGTAGCTGGTCAGGCCGACCCGTCCTAGTCCATCATCCCTAGTCCCTAGTCATGAAGTGTGGGAATCAAAATTTTAAGTTAGTATTCTGTTATTGAGGCTGTTCCATTGTAACAGCCATTATTTGAACAAAACAAAAAACAGAACTGGTTTGAAGAAAATCTATTTGAATCGTTTTCATTTCCACACCTGAAGCAGAAAACCAGAACGGTTTTCGAGCAAAAGAACAATTGATCCTGGCTCAATCAATTGTAGGATCTTGACACTCACCTCCATCGCCGTATTCAGTGACCACCACCACTATTACCAGTGTACACCATCCATGAAGACCATGAGGACCAAAACAGGACTACCGGACTACCGGACTACCGCTGTTAGCGAACATTGACGAGTTAGTGGTCATCACTGCCGCCACTAATACCACCAGCATGACATTGGAAAATATGTGTTGATAATCATGTTTTCCAAATTGAAAAAAATTAAATAGAAACCAGACGAGTAGCGAGTCTATAGAAGGTGATGCCTTTTCCCTCTTCTTTTCAACCTTCAATGAATTAGTTACAACACCAGTATTGTTTTCTAATCAGATTTGAAATGGTTTCAGTTAACATTAATTCTATTGCAGATTTAACTGATTTTTTTATTATCTGTATGCCATACAGAGATATGAGCCCTCTGGTCTTTCCCTACCACACATGCCTTAGGACCTAATGTGTATAAATGAAGATGTAGAATGATCAAACTCACATCGCACCAAAAACTCATCTTTGTTATACAGATCGATAAAATCTCTTATCTCTAAAACACACACAATAACATTCCAAATTCTATAAGCACCAATTCATAACAAGTTGCACAAAACTTAAGTGGGAACGAGATCATAAAGACCATCTCGATGCCCCTCCCACGCCAAAAAACTGAAAATCACAACAAGAATTAGAAACCCCCACCACATGCGCTTGCGATTCTGAGTATATGAGCCATACCGGTACCCTTTATTTTTTGGCACCGCTCTTTTGATGCTTTTCAATTCTGAGCTCTCCAGATATGACTGTTTGTCCCAATTTTCTGTACACCTTCGATATCGCGCAGCATTCTGTCCAGACAAACTGACGTTGTTATCATCTACTAAACCCTCCTCATCTGAGCTGTCATTTTCATACCTTCTCAAAAGGCTCCTGTTCATACTCATTGAAATGGGGGATGAAATGGTTGAATCATCACCAGAATCACACACATTCTCAGAAAATATTCTTTTAGCTAATTGAAGTGCATCAAACGCTGCTTTTCTCACGTGGATTGTCTCAGTTGATGATTGTACACACACTGCCAGCTGTTCAATGACCAATCCCATCTCAGACAATATACTCCTCGGATCCAAATACCTCATCAGACAGCTAAGCATAAGAATGGCCAACAACCTTTCCCGAGAATCTTCGTCCGATATTTTACAACTCAGAACGTGCAATGCAGATCGAACCAACAATCTTGCATACGCTTCAATGAGCAAACCATTGTGTTTGGCCAATGACATCACCAAAGCCATGTGATGGTTTATATCTTCGTGCATCTCAAGTGCCCCGGAGACTGTTTGGCAGACCTCATTGATTGTCTCATTTGAAGCAAAACGCCAATTTTCAGAATCCACTAGAGACTTTAGGCACAGGGCAGCCCCTGAAGATACAGTTTCTTGAGTTGCCAAGAGACAATCTGAAAGCGGCTTTGCGAGGGAGTGGATGATGTGGCGCTTTTTCTCATCTGGTGTTGCGGGACCCATTCCGTACCTTGCGATGGCTGCAACTGCTTTTGAGCAAGACTGATGATGGAGAGGAAATGACCCTTCAGATGAGGATTTTAATGTCCTAATGATGGTTTCCATAATGTGGTCAACCTCATTGAGTGAGATTGTGAGTCCATGATGTTCAGCTGATGCGCTTAATAACCACCCTTCACTGAGTGTCACACCTGCATCAAGATTCTTCTCCAACTCTCTCTGTAGTATAGGGCTTAGACTTTTTCTTCCCATCATTTACCAGAAGCAAACTACAACCAATTTAAACCTAAGAACAATGGAAGATACTGTCAAAATCCCTTTTTTTGCCAAGAACTTGCAGTAGATGCGAATAGAGAACTTATAACTTACGGAGTATAAGGCATATTTTGCGCTAAATCTTGAAAATATTTAGAAATTCATGAGTTTCACAAATTCGAACAAACACACAGACCCACTATGGACATTCGTAAATTGGATGAGAAGATGCTTGAATCTAAACAGCAAAACATACCAGTTTGAATAAAAAACTTAACCCTTTCTCCTTCAGATTCTTGGTTCTTCATCGATTAAGAGCAGCTTGGGGAATACTGATACCTTGCATTATTTTTTTGCAATTCTTGAAAATGGGAAAATGGAGAGTCGGAAGATTGGGAGCGTTGGCGGCGCTATGGAATGGATAGAGCTTCCGCGTTTTCAGTGCAAGGCTGTCCGTTCCTCGTTTGTCCTTTTTTCATTTCTAGAAAGGGTACTCGCAATTATGATTGGGCAGGGTCCAATCGTACCATCTCCCAGATATTCCAGGATTTACATAATTTATTCCAGGATTTACATACTCCGTAATTTATTTCTTACTCTTCTTGTACCAAAATTTTAATTTTAGAGTTACTTTAGAGTTTGATAGCATCAAAATCGGCCGATTTGACTGATTATGCTAAAATTTATGAAGTTCTAGCCTAAGTTTGCTGATTCTGCTGTTTTAAAAAAAATTATTTCTGAAATATATTTTATTCATAAAATAAAGAAAAAATTATATGTAAAAATAGCTAAAATGATCATCTACAGTAACTTCAGCCAATACACCCAGGAAAGTAACTTCAACCTTACTTTTTCTGCTTAATTGCTTATTGCAAAATTTAGCACGCGAAAGCAAAAGTTACGTGTTTGGTGAAAAAGTTGGCTGATAAATCTGATAAGCCGAAAAACAGTGTGCGCGAAGTCAAAAGTTATTTGTTTTATAAAAAAATTGACTGATAAAACATATAAATAAAAAATACTCCGTAGAAGCCACCAAACGGGCTCAATTGTTTTTTTCCATTTTGTACTTTACGGTTTCTGTAATTGTTCTAAAATCATTCTAAGCGTCAGACTAGTCCCCGACTCCCCGCCCATGGGCTAGGTGGTGGTCGGACATCCTGATTTTGTCTATGCACTTCGACTAATTGGTTTGGCGTCTGGTGAATTACTCAACCACCCAATGCGTCTAACTGCCCACCCAGAACGCCTAATCGGCCGCCTAGCCTCTAGATTCCGCCGAACACTTTTTTTTACTTTTTAATTTTATTTTTCTAGGATAAATGTATCTTTAATTTTAACCATGAATATGAAGAAAGGTACATGTAAATTAAGATAAAAAATATTTATGTTTGTATATATACTTGAATTTTATTATTATGGAATAAGACCTACGTTTACCCGCCTATGGAGTTGGCGCACCCGCTTCCGTCTAAGCGAGATCCTTCTCTTTCTACATCTCTCTACTTATCGTCCACACCACCGCATGGCTTTCTTCACTTGCTTGCAAAGAGGTTTCCCCCACTTCACGAGGGCCCATGGAAATATGAATATACTTGCTTTATCTTCGAATGAAACTATCCATGGAATCGTGCGCCGTGTGAAACGTAGATCATCGTCGTTCTTAACCGAGACTCAAGTTAAGCTCCGTCTCAGAACCTTGTGGGGTTAGGAGTAAAGTATCCCGAGGTTGGCGCATCTCGTTAAGCGTGGAGAAGCATTGGGAACCCCCAATTGATTTCTTCGGAGCCGTTTCTTTTCCCGTCCCCCGCCCCGGCATAGCGTTTCGCTTCCGGTTCTTCAGAATAATAAACTGACGTCTTCCTTTTAATATTTATAACACAATGAAATTAAATGATTAATTATCATATATTATTAAATGTGACTATTTTATCATTCATGCATGATAATGCGTGTGTTTTTTTTATGTGCACACACAAACACAATATAAGTATACAACCTATCATATTTATGAAAAATGTGGATCAAAAAACAATTTTTGTATCTGTGACTAATCTCCGCTGAAAAAAATAAACAACACCATCATTTTTATTATTCAAACTCGAATTCTCAATCGAAAAAATATCAAGCACGATATATACGCAGTACTAGTCTAGATACATTATTAGCTTAATAAATTTAAATCTATGGTTTCTAACAATTATGTTACATTATGTTTAAATTTTATTATGCTTTCTGTTTATCAATCTCATCACCAAAAATTAAAATTGAAGTTACTTTTCTAAGTGGGTTGACTTACTTTTGTAAGTATCTTGATTGAAGTTACTATATTAGACTATTTTCGCTATATTTTATACATTTTTCCTTTATTTTATGAAGTTCCGACAAAAGTGGTTGAATCTGCTAAATTATAAAAAAACATTATATTTAAAATATTTTGTACTAATAAAATAAAGACAAAATTATATGAAAAATTGTTAAAATGGACGGTTGTAGAAATTTCAGTGAATTGAACATGAAAAGTATTCCCGGCTTTACTTATTTTGATTATCATACATTTTAGCGCCAGATGTAGAAAATTACGTGTTTAGTTAAAAAGTGGATTGATAGAGCTAATAAGCTAAAAACATGAGTTTGGACTTCTGGTGCAATAGAGTATGTAGGCTCAAACTCATAGCCTACATTCGTGAATATATAGAAGTGGCCGAAACAAGAAACTAAACTTCATCCTCACTTACTCTGTATCTCATAATGATAGAAATATACCGACTACATTTTAGAGTTATCAAACGAGCTTTAAATATAACTATTTTACGATTCAATATATTTGATTTAATTCAATCGTTTCAATCAAAATTTGAGCAGGATCTTCAACTCCAAGACTATCAAATGACTAAATTTGAGTTGAAATCAAACTTCTCACGCAAAAGGCGAGAGTGCCATTAATCAAATACTAGTACAATTTACACGCGAGTTACCGGGCTCGCCACTTCGACTCCGACACAAACATCTTTTACAGTCTATAAATTAGGGTGCGATTAGATTATCACTAATTATTTAACCAGAACACCCGCCGATCAAATGGCCGCGAAAAGTGTCCCGGAGGCCGCAAGTCCGCTCAACGGCCGAGTGGCGATCGTCACCGGCTCGTCGCGAGGAATCGGCAAGGCCATTGCCCTCCACCTTGCTTCTCTCGGCGCGAAGGTCGTCGTCAATTACGCCGCCAGTTCAGATCACGCGGACCTCGTCGTCTCCCAAATCAATTCCGGCGGACCAAAGCGGGCCGTCGCCGTCAAGGCCGACGTATCCGACCCGGCCCAAGTGAAAACCCTATTCGACGTGGCCGAGACGGAGTTCAATTCGAAGGTCCACATCCTGGTCAATTCCGCCGGCGTGCTGGACACCAAGTACCCATCCGTCCTCGACACGGCGATCGAAGATTTCGATAGGACCTTCAGCGTCAACACGCGCGGCGCGTTCATCTGTTGCAAGGAAGCCGCCGCCAGGATCCAGCGCGGCGGCGGCGGGAGAATCATCTGCCTCACTTCCTCGATGGCGGTGGCGCTGAGACCCGGATTCGGAGCGTACGCAGCGTCGAAAGCGGCGGTGGAGGCCATGGTGAAGATTCTGGGGAAAGAGCTGAAGGGGACGGGGATAACTGCGAATTGCGTGGCGCCGGGGCCGGTGGCGACGGATATGTTCTTCGAGGGGAAATCGGAGGAGGTGATACAGAAGGCGGTGGACGAGAGCCCCTTCGGCAGGCTGGGGCAGGCGGAGGACATAGCACCGGTAGTGGCGTTTTTGGCCGGAGACGGCGGTGAGTGGGTCAATGGCCAGACTATTCGAGTCAATGGGGGGTATGTGTGATTTAGATCCAATCATTACTCCGTATAAGTCAAGCATTTGTAATCTCGGGGATTTGATTGAAATTACTTGGATTTACAAATGATTAAGTAGCTCGGTTCAAAAAAAAAATGATAAGTAGCTTTTAATTATATGTCGTGCGAATAAGAACGGCTTTTGTAATATATTCACGAATTAATTTCACGTTTGGTCCTACGAGTTGTATGTCATCACATTTAGTCCATATCTTTCACTTTATCCATTTTTATGCCTAACAAATGTTTTTGATCATTTGTGATTCTTTTCCGACGATTTTAACCACCAGAAATATGCCCGGAAAGATCATATATGGGTGAAAACACAATAGTCATATATAAAAAGTTGTCAAAGACATGAACAAATAGTGGAATAGATGCGATACTCGTAGAATCAAAAGTGGAATTTATTCCTATATTCACCCTCGTTTGGAACTTGGAAGGGCCATAATTGATGCGATTCATTGAATAAGATTGGAGCTTCTTGATCTTTTTTCTTTGCACAAATTATTACGGAGTATTATTATAGAATAACAAATACTGTGTACTTCTTTTATATTTAAACTAGACGAAGTGAGTAAGTGACTGTGTGTAAGGATGGCAATGGGGGCGGGGGCCCGTGGGGAACCGCCCCGTGGGGGGGAGTTGGGGCGGGGTGGTGGGGTGGGGCGGGTGGTGGGGTGGGGGAGATATTATCTCCCCGCAAAAATATGGGGCGGGTGATGGGTTATGCACCCCCCGCACCGTCCCCGCCCCGTCCCCCGTAATAATTAATAATAATAATCTCAATAATAATACTAATAATAATAGTAATACTAATACGAAGTAATTAAAATAGCATGGTGGTCCGGTGGGTTTAGTGGTTTCCTATCTAATGAATTGTGCGTAATGGATCTATCTAATTCTTGTTTAATAACTAAGCTATCTTGTAAAATTGCTTATCAAAATCATAAAGTAAAATGATTTTTTTAGAGATAAAATAAAATGAATTTGGGAAAGTTATAAAGTGATATTAGCTTAAACGCCTCAGGCACGGTGTGAAAGTTTTTTTCCTTTACTATTATAATGCATTAATTCTTATCTTTTGAATGTCATCTTTATGATTGTAGTTAGGGCTCTTAAAATTTGGTGATCATATGTCGTCATAGATGCCATCAAATGACCATGATTGATTGAATGCAGGGTTTAAGAAAATATTATAGAGCTAATCAATGCTAATTTAGAGTTTGATAAAAATTACTAATTTAGAACGCGTATAATGTGTTCTAGATTTGAAATGGGATGTAAGATTACATTGACACTTAAAAAGTAAAAAAAAAATGGCTACTAGAAGTGTTGTTAAATTTTTGAAAAATTGCCAGAGTCTAAAATGATGTTAATTTTTGACGAGTACTTCCCCGTTGGGTACCCGTGGGTTTAGCGGGTCGGGGCGGGGGATGGGGCGGGTCGAATAGTAGTGGGGGATGGGGCGGGGGTGGGGGCGATTTTTTAGACACGGGGCGGGGGATGGGGGAGTGAACCCCCGCCCCAACCCCGCCCCATTGCCATCCCTAACTGTGTGATGCATGGGTACATATGTAGAATAACAACTCGTTTAAATTATCTTTTATAATGATGATTGGTAGTGTGTGATTTTGTTAAAAAAGACATACTAGAGTTGATAACCAAATATTCGACTTATCATCAATTGTTTTACCAAAAAACATGATTATTGATTTCACGGTTTGAATTGCGTAATAATTAAAATAAGTAAAACTAGAGTTAGCTTTCTGGTTGAATTGGTTGAAATACTGAAAATGATCATTTTAGCTAATTTTCATGTAATTTTTCTTTATTTTATTAGTGAATATATTTGGGAAAAGGGTCAAACATGCCCTCAAACTTACATAAAAATGTCAATTAGCCCTTATATAGGAGGCTCTGTCCGGCCGTCGCCATTTGGGGCGGTTCCCGGCGGATTTTTTTGATGAAATTTTTTTAACATCTTTTTCATTAAATCTAGTTTACTCATACCAAATTTCAGCTAACAGCTCAATCGGGAAGGCATTCAAATGAATTCTTGAAGATAACTACGCTTTTAACTATACAGTTATCTTCAAGAATTCATTTGAATGTCTTCCCGATTGAAGTTTTAATGAACTTTGGTATGAGTTAACTAGATTTAATGAATAAGATGCTAAAAAAAGTTCATAAAAAACACCGGGAACCGCCCCAATTAGCGACGTCCGGACAGAGTCTTCTATATAAGGGTTTATTCGACCTTTTTATGTAAGTTCGAGGGTCTATCTGACCTTTTTCCCAATATATTTTACATATAAATTTTTCATAATTCAATAAATTCAACCAATTCAGTCGATCCGATCTATTTTAGTGTTATCAAACAGACTCTGAGACCATTTGGTACACTAAAATTAGCTGAATCGGCTCATTCTGTTGAAATTTATAAAGTTTTTGCTGAAATGGTTGGACTGGTTGATTTTGCTGATTTATGAAAATATTATTTCTCAAACGAGTATATTTTATTAATAAAATGTAAAAAAAAATGTAAAATAGTCAAAATGGACTTCTAATCTTCAGCCAATTTAGTCAGAAAAATTACTTCAACCTTATTTATTTTGAAAACTACACAATTTCACACCCCAAATAAAAAATTAGGCATTTAATGAAAAAATAAGTCGATAAGCCAAAAACAGGGGCCACCAAATGGGTTTTTCATATGTTGTAACTTTGATTACATAACGATAGTTTGCAGGAAAAGTGAAAATGTAGATCATATGACAACTTTCAAGCTGACCTCAAATAAACGTTAAATTGTTAGAATAAACTCTAAGTGACAGTGAAATAACATGCATGATCGGTAGGAAATTGAAGTGTTCATTCATTGATCTTGGGGAGTTTATAAAACATAATAATCATATATAGGTTGGCAATGTACAAAAGTACCCTAGATCTTGAAAAAGTGACTACATGGTACAAATAGATTGTTAACTATGAAAATGAGAATAAAGTGTTAATGACACATTACATACCTTTAGGAAGGTGTTGTGAAGGAAATGATGTGAAATGTGACATGACTTTGGGTTAGTCCACGTGGAGTTGTAACGTTAGACCTCACAATATTGTTGTGAAAGATTTGGTTCATATAGAGAATAAATGAGTATGCAAACGTACAATGGAGTTTACACATTCAAAGCATTATTAAAGTAACAGCAGCTGATGAACAATGCAAACATAAAATAGTAATCAAATAGTAATCAAATTAGTAAGAATCAATTTATATCATAGCTGTCAAGATAAACTTCCCAACACTAAGTTTCACCATCTTAAACTGTCTTTAGACATTAGTGTTTAACTTTGACCTTCTCAATCATTGGTTGTTGTTCTTAAGAATTGGCATTATAGGCCATTCAAATGTCAGTATCTTTTTCCATGCAAATTAAAATGCTCTAATCAAATGGTATAAATTTCGTGTATTTGATAACAATTTTTTAAGCTCGTAAAATGATGTGTGGAAATGCGGACCAATTCTTATGGTTCGACAAGTGCTCTAATAACTAATTGTTATATTAAACAAGTGCTCTAATAACTATTGTTATATTATTTCTATGTATGCAAAAGTACATATAGATGGTATTGTTAGTGTTTTTTCTATGTTGTTATATTTTTATTCATTTTCTACTATTATGATGTATGTGAACTTCTGCTCAAAAAGATTGTATCATCGGTGCATCAAGGTTACTTTCGCCTTACAATATTGATAGTTTGATGCCATAACATATCCAATAGAATCTCACTATGTGAAATATAATATGGACCGCATTGCCACACATCATTTCACGAGTTTAAAAATTTGTTATCAAATACAGTATGACATTAGAAGGACACAAAAAATAAATTGGAAACCCTATCCAACCGATTCTCGTAACAATATAACTAAGGAATTGATTTTGTAATGAATTCCTATTTAAAATATTGTACTATCATTCTCACCTCTCACCCGCAGACTTGAAATTTGCAATCTCACAATTCAAATGAGTCATGAATTTAATCTTGGTTAAGTTGAGGCTTAAAGAATCACATTTTATTTTAGTTATGCAACATATATAAGTTTACACACTTCTCATGTTTTTGTCACTGTAAATAGTCTTTGCCCCTTCTCTAAATATGCCCTTGCCTATAAATATTGTCACCTTTCATTTTTTGCACTCTCCACCAAATTATCAATTTCATTTAAAATAGTTGATGGCTCAATGAATATCATTGTGGTATCCCGAGAGAAGAGATAGTTATAAGTACATGGAGAGAACGGTATATCATACGTAGTATATGATACTCCGTAATAAATAAGACTTCGAACTGTTGCCCCAAAGAGGATAATTATAAATTTATACCCATGATAAATATTGAGTACATTAGATGTGCGCACATGTAAGCTAGTCGATAGGTGAAACCATGCGATGCGGAAGAACTTGACCTGTGGAGGTCAACGTCCTAGTCAACACCGTATTGAGCGAATGCTTCCTTAGTGGCTCTCCTTGCCTGAGGTGAGGAGCTGACTTCAACAGACCTTTGTTGTTGAGAATAAAGGTCATAGAGAGTCCGAGTGTCAATATTTTACTTGAACCAAGCAGGGGCGGAGCTAGAGCACTAGGCCGGACTGGGCCGATACAAAGAATATTTTTTGAAAATTTTTTACACGGAATTTTTTACACTAAAAATACAGGCATTTTTAAAATTTGGGCTGGGCCAGGGCCAGGGATGGCCCTTCCCTAGCTCCGCCCATGAACCTCTTGTATTTCCCATTTTGTGAGCTAGGTTTTAATCTTTTCTAGTAGGGATAAGGGTACTAACTTGCTTTTCATGTAGTCCTTAGTCGGGGACGGTGGTCTAAGGTCGGGGATCGAGACGTGCCACTGTGAAACTAATGGACTCGACCGTAACGACTTTCAGACGCTTTTATTGTGCCGCTTATATATGTTCATAAGTACGCGGATCGTGGGGTAGGCCAAATATACTCTACCAGTAGTAAATACTAAATATGTTGATAAAGTTTTTTTTCCGACATAAATCTCAATCATTAGCTTTTACTTTTTTATTAATTGACGTACAAGCCAACACCAGAGCAGTTTTACGGGACAAATGAAATGACAATTTTAGAAAAATTGTCTTTACCATGAAATTACAAAACTGTATCACCCTGAGATCAAT